AACAAAATTGAAATGGCAGAGGGTGATAGGGATGATCCATTCGCGCTGCACAACTCAGACCATCCAGGAATGGCTTTGGTCACAGCACCACTAATAGGAAAGAATTATCTAGCCTGGAACAGATCTATACGTATAGCCCTAGGGGCGAAAATGAAATTGGGGCTAAGTGATGGTTCAATTGAAGAGCCAAGCAAGGATTCAGCTGATTACGAGAGGTGGAATAGTGTTACCCTAGGGGCGAAAATGAAATTGGGGATTATTGATGGGTCAATTGAAGAGCCAAGTACAGATTCAACTGATTACGAGAGGTGGAATCGTGTTAATTACATGGTAACCTCCTGGGTTTTAAACTCTATCTCGAAGAAGATCGTAGATGCTTTCTTATATACCACCACTGCAAGAGAGCTGTGGACTGAAATTGAAGAGAGGTTTGGTGGGTGCAATGGACCTCAATTATACCAGATCCAAAGGAAAATATCTACTATGACACAGGGAAGCTTGAGTGTTACACAATATTACACAAAGCTTAAAAGGCTTTGGGATGAACTGACTTACCTAATGCCATTGCCGCAATGCACTTGCGGATCAGCAAAGGCGGGCACAGAAATGACTTCGTTTAACAGGTTGATGCAGTCTTAATGGGATTGAACGAGGAGTATGAGCATGTGAGGAGTCAGATCTTAGTCACCGAACCGCTACCTGTGGTGAACAAGGCCTATTCAATGGTTCAAAGAGTAGAGAAGCAAAGGGAGGTGCAAACGATGAAGGAGCTGAAATCAATGCTATGTATGCAAAATCACAGCAATACAGGAGGGACAATGGAGCAAAGGGACAAGAAAGGAGGTATGAGAACAAAAAGCACAAGGAGTTGCAATATTGCACACATTACAATGTTAATGGACATAATAAGGAATCATGCTTCAAGATCATTGGATATCCCGACTGGTATAAAGACCTTAGAGAAAGGAAGAAAGGAAAGAATATGGAGAATATGGCCGAGACTCCCCTTGATCAGATGAATGAAGAAATGGGAGATAAATTGAAGGGGCAGCTACAGGGAATGAATCTGGGTGAAGTGAATCAACAGGAACTGCTCAAAATTTTCAAAGGGCAGGGGAACAACAGGGTGCACTTTGCACACTTGGAAGATTTCGCAGGTTCCATTCTCACACCTGATGGTATTTATGCTTCGCATACTTGCGACCTTATAGGAATAGGCTCTTGGATAATTGACACATGAGCATCTAATCATATATGTAATGACCTGAAGCTCATGCATAAACCCAAAATCATCACTGCCACTATACCCGTATATCTACTTGATGGAACCATTAACAGAGTAGAACATTCTGGTAATGTAGTCCTTAGCAAAGACCTTACCCTCATAAAAGCTTTACATATACCTACTTTCAAGTTTAGCTTGTTGTCTATGAACAAATTAGCCAAAACTTCCAACCTTAAATTTACCTTTCTTGATGATCATTGCTTGTTGCAGGACCGTCTAACTGAGGAGATCTTGGCAGTTGGTAGAACCATCAAGAACCTTTACATTTTAGATAAGGACTCATTTCTTCAAAGAACCATACAAAGATACACTCCTATACAATGTAATACATCTGTGATTGCTTCTTCAGCCCCTTTACTCTCTAAATTTTGTAATAATCAGCCTGACACTGCTGTTTTGTGGCACAAAAGGCTTGGCCATGTTTGTGAAAAAGTCTTACAGCATTCTATATTAGGAAAACAGTGTAATAAAGGTGATTTTAATCCTTGTGATGTCTGTGCTTTTTCTAAACAGCATAGACTACCTTTTCAAAGAAGTCATATTCAGTCTAGTACATCCTTTGAACTTCTACATATTGATATATGGGGACCTTACAAATGGGCCTCCATATGTGGAGCACATTATTTTTTGACTCTAGTTGATGACTTCACTAGAGCTACTTGGACTTTTTTGTTAAAACATAAGACACGGGTTTTGCACATTATGAAATTCCCTCACCAAATGATCAAAAATTAGTTTGGAAACAAGATTAAAAGCATTAGAACTGACAATGGATCAAAATTCCCGAGTCAAGATTTTCAGAATTTTTTAGCCACTAATGGAATTCTACATCAAAAGTCATGTGTGTATACCTCACAACAAAATGGGGTTGTAGAAAGAAAACACAAACACTTGCTTCAAGTAGCTAGGAGCCTCATGTTTGAATCATATTTACCAACATATTTCTGGGGGGAATCTATTTTAATGGCCACATATATTATAAACAGGCTTCCCTCCAAAATGCTGAATTGGAAAACACCTTTTGAATTGTTACACAGTAGACCACCCACATATCATCATATACGAACCTTTGGTTGCTTATGCTATGCCACAAACACTTTACCTTCAAAGCACAAGTTTTCTCCTAGGAGCTTTAAATGCATTCTACTAGGTTTTAGTTCAGGACAAAGGGGATACAAGGTGTTTGATATTGATAACCGACAGATTTTTGTATCTAGGGATGTGATTTTTCATGAAAACATATTTCCTTATAATGGTCAGTGCAAATATGAGCTTGTTGCACCTTTACCCATACCTGCTGTGTCTGATGAAGATGTATTACATAAAAATAACTCCAAATCAGTTTCCACTGACCACCCCATTGCTGAACTATCAGTTGCCAGGCATAACCATAGTCTTACACCTGTAACAAGTGATGATAATGACACTCTAATTCAAACACTTCATCAAATTCCCACATCTGCAACCCCAAGAAGAAGCAGTAGACATAAAACTACCCCCAGTGGCTTCAAGATTTTGTGACTAATTTCAGTCATAGTGATGATCTTCAGCCAGCTATTGAACCTGCTGACACACTGCATTCCTCACAATCCAGCCCAAATGCCTTACCTTCCCATATCTCACAGAGTTTTAGTTCACATTACAATGGTTTTTTTTGCTAATGTTAACACTGTTCAGGAGCCTATTGCTTATAGGGAAGCTAGTATTAGAGCTGAATGGATTGAGGCAATGAATGCTGAATTTGATGCACTTGAGAAAAATAATACATGGGATCTTGTTTCTCTAACCCCTGACATGAAACCGATTGGCTCTAAATGGGTATTTAAAGTAAAACTAAAGGCAGATGGAACTTTGGATAGATGCAAGGCTAGATTAGTAGCCAAGGGATACCATCAAGTTGAAGGGATTGACTACTTTGAGAGCGTTTCACCTGTGGCGCAGCATGTAACCATCAGCATTTTCCTAGCTATTGCTACTAATAAAATGTGGCCCATTTCCCAATTAGACATTAATAATGAGTTTTTGCATGGGTTCTTAGAGGAGGAAGTATATATGTGGCCACCGGAAGGATACTCTAAAGCACAACAGGGGCAGATTTGTAGGTTTAAAAGGTCACTTTATGGGCTTAAACAAGTCAGCAGGCAGTGGAACACAGAATTAAGCAAGCATCTTGAAAGCTATGGTTTTCTTCAATCTTCCCATGATCATTGTCTATATATTCTGACCAAGGGTACCTTGTTTGTAGCAGTTCTTGTATATGTCGATGATCTACTTGTGACATGAAATAATGAAGTTGAAATTCAGAACCTCAAGGCGTCTCTTCACTCAGCTTTCACTATTAAGGATCTGAGAAATACCAAGTATTTTCTTGGCATAGAAATAGAAAGAACACAGGCTGGAACCTTTATCAATCAGAGAAAATACGCCCAGGACTTAGTTACTGATGCTGGACTATCAGGAGCAAAGATCACAGTCACACCTCTACCAAAGGGCTTGAAATTCAGTGGGGGAAATGACAAATTAATTGACAACCCTGATAAGTATAGAAGACTCGTTGGAAGACTTTTGTATCTCACTTTAACTAGGCCAAACATCACCTTCAGTGTCCAGCAATTGTCACAATTCATACATTCACAGACATTGGCTCACTGGAATGCTGCGGTTCATGTCATTAAATACATCAAGGGCACATCTTCCACTGGCCTTTTCTATCCTACATCCAACAATTTCAGCATTGAAGCATTTTGCGATGCTGACTGGGCTTCTTGCCTGGACACTAGGAGGTCCCTCACAGGCTACTATGTTTTCTTAGGAGGGGCTCTTATTTCATGGAAGTCAAAGAAACAAACTACAGTTTCCAGAAGTTCAGCAGAGGCGGAATATCGGAGCATGGCAGCTACTGTCTGTGAGCTACTATGGATTTCTTACATTTTGTCTGACTTTCATATCCCGTTACTTCTTCCTATTTCCCTTTGGTGTGACAATCAAGCGGCTCTCCACATTAGTGCTAACCCTGTGTTCTACGAGCCCACTAAACACTTAGACATTGATTGTTACATTGTTCGTAACAAATATAAAGAAGGCTTCATCATCCCCAAGCACATCTCCACGCATCATCAGCTAGCTGACATTTTCACTAAGTCTCTTCCTGGTCCACAGTTCGATAAACTAATCTCCAAGTTGGGCCTGCTTCTTCTACATCGTGATCCCACTTGAGGGGGGGATATACAGAATTATGTCAATGTCATTTTACTACTTATTAGCTAATACCACCAGTTTAGTGAATAATTAGTTACTTAGCTAATTAGTTTAGTTTGTTAAGTTTGTCAATTTCTGTTATTAGCTCCAAGTCAGTTACGCATTTCATTTCCTCTATTAATACTATACAGTTCACTTCTGATAAAGGTAATTGGGTATTATCATTCCCTAAATGAATTCACTCTCTAAATTTCTCATCACCTTCATCAACACAGAGTTCAATCATGATCGCCTTGTTCGGGCCTGAGGCCCGGACACAGTTAAAGGCCTCGAAGATTTCCAGTTCCAAACCATCCCAGATGGCCTGCCACCTTCCAACAGTGATGCTACACAAGATATCCCTGCACTTTGTGTATCGATTTCGAAACATTGTTTGGCCCCCTTTTTGGAACTCATCAAGAACCTTAATGAATCATCGGATTGTCCGAATGTTAGTTGCATAGTCTATGATGGGGTCATGAGTTTCAGTTTGGATTTTGTTGAACAACTCAATATTCCTGAAGTCATGTTTTACACTACAAGTGCTTGTGGCTTCATAGGGTACCTTCACTATGGTGAACTTGTTGCTAGAGGATATGTCCCTCTTAAAGGTATGATTTATGTATAAATTATTTATGAACGTGTTTTTTTAGCAATATTTGAAATGTTTATAAGATTTGATTTGGACAGATGAAAGTTGCTTTACAAATGGATATTTAGAGGCAGAGATTGATTCGATACCGGGGATGAAAGGCATTCGACTTAAGGACATTCCATCATTTATTCGAACCACTGATCTGAATGATATCATGCTGAATTACAACATCGTGCAGCACGAACATGCATCAAGGGCTAAGGCCATCCTTTTCAATACATATGACGAATTGGAAGAAGAAGTTCTGAAGTAATTCGAGCCAAATACAATCGGGTAAACACAATAGGTCCAATCCAGGTGCTCGAAAAAGAAGTTTACTGGAAAAGCCTTAAATCCATTGGATCAAACCTTTGGAAAGAAGACATGGAATGTTTAAATTGCTTTGATCAGAGGGATAGCAATTCTTGTAACGACCCAACCTCGCATTGGAGCGTTATCATATCATACGTATTGTCTGCTTTAAGGACTAAATGTTATGTTAAATTGAAGAAGATGGGCTTCCATTGCAATTGTCGGTATGAGTGGATTACACATGGCAATTATATAACCAATTACCCAAGTTGTCATTTGATATGCATATACACAAAAACAGAGAACGCGCAGAGAGAAGAAAATTCGAGAAGGAAGGGAAGAAAAGGGAAAAAGAAAGAAAGAAGGACGAGAAGAAAGAAAAAAAAAAGAAAAGAAGAAGAAACTTGGGTTATCCATTTCTTCAATTTCTCATTTGATTGGAGAGGTAAGTACGGGTATGTTGAATTATTATTATTATTATTATTATTATTATTATTATTATTATTATTATTATTATTG